AGATCTTGGTGCGTATTTGCGAGCTCAGCTGTTGTCTCACCAACAAAGTCGATATCGCGAGCTCATTCCCAGAGTTCTTGTTTCGGTAAACTATCGACAGAAAGAAGCTACCGGATTTAGTTACCAGCACGAAGGACAGACTTTCAGGCCCGGAAGGACGCTGTTGCAGCCAATCGAGGTGGAAGGGAACCATCTGTTGCTCGCTGCTCAGATCCATGCCGACAAGCACATCACACTCGAAGTCCTAGACCCTATGACATGGCGATCAACGCTGTCTAGTCGGAAAGCTATCGACAAATACATCAGGGAAACTTTGCGAAGCTCCACATGGTGGCGGCAAGTCTTTGACTCGTTAGACCAAATGGAAGAAAACCTGCCCGAGGCCACGATGTGGGTACCGACTGCTCAGGTCACGACAGGCGATGGCAGCTTTACGTACACCGTCTTGAACGCGTGGGCGCTGGCGATGGGCCTCGCGCCGAACCCGTCGTTCACACCCAGCGCTCATGGTCACGAATCGTTCTTCATCCGGGCCCAACAAATCTTCGATCTGGCCCTTCAAGACACGTTAAACTGGAGGGTATTGCTCGCCTTTTTCCGCTGCACCGGATTCGTTAAGCCCAGCGAGGGCAGCGAGAATGATGAAGAGGCAAATCTCCCGCATCTATCAAGGCGATTTGATCTTTGTAACCGCTCCTTCCAGAAGCTGATCGCTCGCCAAACGGCAGCAGAAGCCGCCGCCGAAGACAAGAAGATCGATATGGAGCTGGTCACTTTGAGACTCGAGGATGGTGCGCGCTACGATCAAGCCTTCGCTGCCGATCCACTAAGCAAGCTTGAACGGACCAACCTCACTTCCATCGTCCGTGATGGCCAATGGAACTTCGCTGATACAGAAGAGAAGCTGAAAAAGCGTCTGGATGAACGCAAGGAGAAAAAAATGTCGGCTTTGTCGCTGCCAAAAACACCACCGCCACCACCGCCACCACATAGATCGACGCCAGATACCGAGGAGATTCCGGCCGACTTTGATCCTTGTAAGCATCTTCACGAGCAGATTAAATTGCTCGAAGAGCAGGGGAAGATTGAACCAAAAGTCGGAAGTGAAATCGACGAAGCATTGCCATCCAGGTGGAGTCAAGCTGTCTTTGGATATATCGAGCCCGTTGCACGAGCTATCAACGAATTGCTCTCACCTGAGCGGCCTCAGCGGGGCTTCACAGTGGCAGACCTGAATGGTAGTACCAGATACGCAGACAATTCTGGCGTCTTGGACACAGTGGTTATGATGGTCTGCCAACTGGGAGACCATGTCATACTAGTAGTCTTGCAGCATGAAGACGCATCCAAAGAAGCTTCTGATGTATCACGCGTTATGGACTCCGCACCATGGACTGCCACGGCGAAGGAGCGCATCCAAATCCACGACCTACTGATTGAAGCGGGGATGTTAGTAGTTGAACCTACTGCAGACAAAGTTAAAAGTTTCGTCGGGCCAGTACTACAATGGATGCCGGGTCCTCAGCAAGCACAAGTAAAAGAAGCTGGGTATTTTGCAATAATGAGTGCATGGGCTGTACCGCTCGGTCTACCTATCAATCCCGAATTCCGCATAGGCGCAAATTTCTACGATAGCGCACTTCCTCTGCTCCAGGCAGTGGTGAAAGCACATGCAGACTGGAAGCTGATCTGGGCGTTCTTGCGTTGTGTGGGTTATACTCAGTCCGAGCAGCCGCCTCCGATACAGCGTCGATTCAAAGCGACAAGGCCTGCTCGTGGCCCCCGTATCACCAGAGGCAACAGAAAGAGCAAGCGCTCGATTGAGACTCAGGCTTGCCGTGACATCAACTATCCGCATTTCCCAGTGAACACGGGTGTAGCGCACACTGAAGCTTTCCCGTGGGACGACTATGACAAGCCGGATAGGGCAACTCGCATACCCGAGTTGATCACGTCTGGGGTGTACAGCAAGGTCCTGTCAATTGCTCCCGCACCCTCAGGTGGCTCCAAGGGCGATAATCCCAAACCGTTAAACAACGGCGATGAACTACCGGAAGACCCCGCTCCTCCTCCAAACCCCGGAGAAGGCACTGATCCTGGACCGAAAAAGACCAAAGAGACTGCCGGTAACCCCGATAAAGAAAGGTTAGCGCTGCCAGCAGACTTTGACCCGTGCGAATACTTCAACCAACAGCGAAACGCGCTTCTAAGTGATCCGGCCGTAGCAGCAGCAGTGGGAAGTCTTCGAAGTCGTGCAACCACCACATTCGGACTGTGGCTCAAGGACGAAGAGGTATCTTTGGCTATCGCAGCCGTGACGCTCGGCATAACGAATGCTCAGGGCCTAGAGGGCGGGTTCGGATGTTTGGACCAGACTGCAGTTCAATACTGTCGGCACGAAAATCCTACGTTGATGCAGCCTACAATTCGACCGGGACGGCCGTTGATAGTACCGGTAAATGTTGACAGCCACATCGTCTTGGTGGTTATCCAGTTTGACGACTCTGCAGAGGAGCCTACACCTACGATCTCCATCTTTGATTCAAAATCTCACAACTATAGCTTCGAACGACGTGCTCATGTTTTCGACACAGCTCGAAATATCTTCATCGCCTCGCGCTGGGGCCGAATTCCAAACCTTCCAGACACAGGTGACTTACGCCAATACACCCGGGAGGCATTGCACGCTGAGTGGATCCCCGTAGCCCCACAACCTACGGATAATGAGTGTGGATACTATACCATATTGAATGCGTGGGCACTGGCTTTGGGTCTGCAACCCAATATCAATTTCTTCCCAAGTTGGACAGCACAGTTCTTCCAAGACCTTATTGATGTGATCCACATCGCTCGTGTTGGACGAGCAGACTGGAGACTGATATACGCGTTTCTCAGATGTAAAGAATTTGTCGACAATGCGGCAGCCGTGCCCGAGGATCGCCATTTTGAACAGACCGAGAATTTGCCGCGCGATGAAGCACTAGAATCGGTATTGGATCGTCTAGAAGAGTCAGAGCGCCGCGACTGGGAAGTAAGAGATCCAGATTTCCCCAAACTAGCCAAAGCAAACAGAACACATGTTGTCCCAGGGAAGCGACACGACAAGGTATGGCCATCAGACGACTGGACGGAAGAGGCAAGGAAGTACGTGAAGGATCTCGAACGCTGGGGAAAACTTGTTCTTGATGCGGACAGTAAAGGACTCAAAGAGCAGTGGCAACAACACTTTTTGATGCATGGCGTGGAATTTGAGAACCAGCTGGAACACATACACGGCAAACTAAAGGACCGAACTTTGGATATCACCAAGGATATACTTCCTCACTACAGGGAATTCCTCAACAAATTACATCCGCCGGGTTTGAATGTGCAGATCGATCACTTTCCCTGTGCCTGGGTAGCAGACGCTGTGAACCTTTACGATTGTATCCTGAACTACGAACCGTTGGCACAAAGCTTCTCTAACGGGATGCGAGAGGAGGTCAATGGACAAGAATGTCAACCGTGGGAGATAAATATGGCTATCGCTGCCGTGGTTGAGGCAATTGATGGCAAGCAGCGAGAGCTTCACAGGATGAACAGCGCAGACGGTCAGCCATTTGCTGGGGGTTTTTCGATGGCCCCAACTGACGCGTTAAGAGAGGCGCTACTTCAACCAATGCCAGCAGATCACCCTGTGGCATCAAGACCTAGGAGATGCTGGTTTATGCCTCTGAATGTGAGCGGACCACTCCTAGAACGGGCCAACGCATGGCAGGAGACGAAAGGCCATAAAGTGAAGCGCCTGTCAACAGGCGGAGGTCACACATTGCTCATGGTACTCCAAGAGCGAGACGACCAACCGAATACAAATCATCTGAGCGTCGATACTTATACCCTTGATAGTCATCCGGCCATCTTGGAGAACGCCCACGAGTTCTTGGGCCGTTCCGTTTTGAGAGCAGCTGGACGTCTTGGTTGGTCCTCGCATCGTAATACCGCGCAAGTTGCAGGCTTCAATCATAGATATCCTGTACCAAAGCAGCAGACTGGCGGATTTCAATGTGGCTACCACGTTTTCGTAAACGCCTGGATACTCGCAATGGGTCTCACACCAGATACCAAAAGGGGCCCATACAACGAGAAGGTCTATTTTGAGGCATGGCTTTTCGCTAGGGCTGCAATAGCGGGATTACTCGACTGGAAGGCATTGGTAGCTTGGTTCTTCTGCCGGAAGTTGACAGTGGAGAGGACTTATGAAGCTGTACCCGCAAACAGGCGCTTTGAAGGTACTGTCCCCCAGGTGCCGGATCGGCCTGATGATGTACCGGAAGCACAAGGAGAGGGCGAATTGCGAGACCATGTGCAACAACGGTACGATGCGGATGACCGACCTCTAGCGCTGTTATCGGTTGAAGATGCCCCTTACGATCGGTCTAACAATATTGTATGGCCCCCTCCTAAAGGCAAGGAACAGGAGGACCAAGGAAAGAGCCTGGACAGAAGCTATGACGACGCGGATCTAGAGTTCTTCGAAAACCAGGCAGGTGTAAAGCGCAAGTCGCGTGAAGAGATTGACGATGGCCTCGGTCGTTTTAATAGTTCGCACGCGACTGTTGACAGTCGTGTGAGAGATACGGTTCATTCGTCATCTTCCAGGAAAAGGCAGCGCCTAAGCGACAGCCTGTCTTTCCTTGACGCGTATTAGCGGCCCCTTGCTCTTATTTGTACCGCAGACGGACTGCGCTGGCGTGGATATCATAGAAGGGTCATCGTTGTATTTGTATTGAGGAGAGTTCGTTGTTGTAGCGTCATTGCGCTGTCTTAAATAATATGTAAAAGTCGTTGTTCAGTGTAGCCTGTTCTGCTGCGTGGTGGCATGTAGACGCGACCGCGAGTGACGACCCTAAGCTCCGGCAACCGATGACGTAGCCCCAAAACCTTCACGCGTCGCGATCCACGAACCCCAAACCTCCACCATCCCATCTACCACTCTCAACACAACCCCACAATCCGGCAAAATGATACGACCAACTCTCCTCTCCGCCATCCGCCTCAATGCCCTCCATAGCAGCTCCAAACGCGCCTTCTCCCTCCTAAACCCCACGTCGCGCTCGCACACCAACCGCATCTTCGACCCCATCCGCCAACCCAACGATCTGCATACACTCACACTCCTCAACGCATCCGACAACCGCTCACTAATAACCTTCTGGACCGCAACGTGGTGTCAAACCTGCCAAGCCATCAAGCCGCTCATCCGCCAACTCATCGAAGAAGAAAAGATTGGGGAGCGGGAAGGCGGACTGGGCTTTGTGGAAGTGTTGATGGACAGCACGTTGATTGAGGACTTGCCTATAAAATACCGCATCAGTAGTATGCCGACGCTATTGGCGTTTTCAAGACAGGAGGCGCAATTTGATACGAGGTTGACGCGGCCCGAGGAGATGCGGAATAAGGACTTTTTGAGGGAGTGGTTGGTCAGGGAGGCGCAGAGGGGAGGGAGGATGGGCGGTGGTGGGGGCAGTATGTTCGGTTAGTTTTCCGTGTCCTTGTGTTGTGCTTGGATGGAGTACTGGGCCTGACGGTGTTAAAGGTGCGAAGGAAGATGGCGAGCAGGGCAAAGTGGGTGAGGACAAGTGACACGGGATAGCCAAACATGGGGCGGAGGTATGCTGTAGGCGCAACAAGCTAGCAGTGCGGTCAGGAGCTGTGGAGTAGCGAATGATCTGCGTTCATGTGACACTGTGAGTGAAGTAAAGCTCGGTCGAGCAAACACTGTTATTTGACTCTCAAGTGGGGGAGTGATTCCATAACCCTGTTCTCTTCTCTCACCTTTCTCTTGGAACATTCCCTTCCTTCATCCACGAATAGGTCCCTACCATGACAAAATTGACGATAGATCAAGACTACGAGGCCGCCATCGTGAAGGGTACTAGGCTGCTCCAGATCCTGGCCGCGAAGGATAAGACACAAGTTCAAAGCGCATATGAGGAGGTACAAGAACTAGCCCAACATGGCTATCTTCTAAAGCCTCAAGACAAATTCTTTGAAATCGACTGTATTGCCGACGCGCTCTGCGATCTAGGTGTCAGCGACAAAATGGTGTATGATGGCGGAGAGAACATGAGAACACACCATGTGCATGACCGCGACGGAGCAGAAGCGACAGAAGACGATACAGTACGTTTCGCGGTAGCATTGAAGTAAGCATGTTCTAACGAGCTATCAGACAACACATGGCTACTTTTCTCAAGTCAGCAACCCTTACGCTGGTGTCTTGATCGCAGACAGTAATCTCAGTCCCGCGCATGCAGCAAAATTCGATGACGAAGGAGATGATAAAGCTACAGAACTACCGTCACTGCGATACTGGTCAGACGTAGCGTTTCTACAATACCTTTCTTCTTTCCCCGAACCACCTATACGGCCGATCCCGCTCAATTACGTCTTCCGCGTTCAGATACAGAATGCTGAGACGTCTCTGGTGCTCAATAAGATTATCAGTAACCCTGTTACGTTTACATACGAGATGTGGCCTGGTATCACGTTCGGAATGGACACTGAAGAAGGGAAGGCGATCTTAGGGACGCCGAATGGTTGTGGTGTCGCTTGGATGCTTATTCAACATAGTAAGACGTTTGGAGAGAAGAATATTGAGAAGGTGACTTTGTTTCATGCGGCAAAGAAGGATGATTTGTTTAGATGGCCGACTTTGCTGTTTTGGATTGTGTAGAGTGGGTCAGGTGAGAAGATTGTATCTGCATTCACTTTATGTGGAGGGGGCTAGACAAATGGTGGAACAGATTAGGCTACATGTCAGCTGCTTCGCGTCATACCGTTTGTTGACGATGCGTGACGCTCAACGTCTCACACTCAAGGAATTCATAAATGCATCTGGATAGCAACATACTTAGTACTACCGCGACCCTCCTGCGACACTTTAATAACCAGCATCCTCTCCGATGGCAACCTCAGTCAGCCCGGCAACGCATTATGAGGCGGCTTACAAGAAAGGTCCACTGCTGTTTCAGATGCTGGAAGCTAGCTTTGGTGAGCTCGGTAATTTACTCAGAAACACAGATACGCCAACTGAAAGCGAATACCTCAAATACGAAGATCTCTTGGAGAACAATTGGGTTGAGCGGTCCTCCGGGGACGATTCCAAAATTCTGGCGCGACTGTTGGAGGACCTTGGAATCAATACTTCAAGTAATATCCCTGTTTCACATGAACACCACGGCGTTGCACCAATAGAAGAGTCGCTACAAGAAGGACTTGAGATGCAGATACGCTTCGACTCAGTCATCAACACTTCCGGTGGTACGATTGCGGCCATGAACACGTACAGTCCTATGCATGATTGGAGAAAAGCGAAAGCGGATGCCGAGAATGCCCTACTAAAACAAGCCGGCCACAAGTCTACGGAGAAAAATAACGTCGGCGATGACGTCCCTAGCCTGAAGTACTGGTCCGATGTCGCGTACCTAAAATGGGCCGGGCATGTCACGGACTCATCCGACTTACGTTACGTGATGCGAATGAGCATCACAAACGAAAAGACAAAAGCCGTCATCCAGCATATCAAACAACAAGCCCATCCCAATGCTTCAGGCTCATGCTCATTCGACGTTGAGGACCGGGATCAGGTAGCCGCTTTTCTAGGGACACCGAATGGAGCCGGAGTCGCTTGGTTGCTCATACAGCATAAACAGCAATTGGGCCATAAGACAGTTTACAAGGTAACGGTAGACTGTCGTGAAATCTGGAGTAATAGCAAGACGATAGTTCCAAGCTTGGTGTTCCACCTTCGCGGTGTGGCTACTCCGAAGCCAGGCAGCGAGGCAGGTGGTTGAAGGAAGTCGCTATGAGGGCAGAGTGAGCGAATGTGTTAGGCCGCACCAAGGATGAGATGGCAGGCAGTAGAACACTCATGAAACCACACCGTGCTTGATCCACCGGAGATTCGTAGAACGTAGAAGACATTGTCTCACTAGCCTCATGGATAAAAGACACTCAATCCTTCTCTTTCCAAATAGCATCTCACAGTAAGCTATACCCACGATGACAGATTCACCCATCAGTGACCTGGACTACAAGTCTGCCATGGAGAAAGGCAGGAAGCTGCTCAAAATGATTCACAGCGAATTTACTGTCACGCAAAGCCCATACCTCACGCGCGGGGAAGTAAGAGCGCTGGGATACAAGAGAACAACAAGGTCTCGATCCGTCTCTGACCTAACCAAAAAGCTGGACAGTCTCGGTATTCAAGGTTCTGACTCTCACTTCATCAATGTCATAGACGACTACACGAAAGACGTTATCACTGGCGAAACACTTGTAGGTCTAAGCGACGTGAGGTTCATGTCCGATATCAATCTTGAAGCTGGAATTCTCATAGCGAACTACAGCTACAGCCCGACATACAAGGCCAAGGAGTTGAAATCGCTGGCGGCTGCTCTGTTACCCTCGTTGAAGCACTGGTCCGATATAGCCTTCCACCAACGGGCCCACTCTCAACACCCAGAGGAAGAAGTACGTGATCTCAAGTTCATCATGAGAGAAACCATCGCGAACGAAGATACTTTGGCTGTCGTTGATAGCATTCTCGACGCTTCACCTCACCAGTCACAAGCTTGCACGCGGTCGGGACTATATCTGGACATGACCAGTGACCATGCCATAGCTCTGCTAGGCACAGCACACGGTGCAGGTGTAGCTTGGTTACTTGCGCAGCATCGAGACCAACTTGGCCATAAGGTAATCGCTGGAATAACGATATTCTACAGCGGCGAGCCGCCAGACCGCAACAGAGCCCCCAACTTGCTCTTCTACCTTCGTGACGCGAGTGCGAATGAGAGACCTATCGAGAAGTTGTGAGGAACGATGGCAAGAGCGCGGCGGACGATCCTTTGGGTAGGCGCAGGCGTCTAGGGGCGGTAAGTTCGTAGTAATGACGATCTTGCCGAATGGGATCAAGAATCGGATCAAAACTGAGCAGTGCCTGATGGTGGTTGAGATTGTTATCGACGTAGAGGCCTAGTATGCATGGAAGATTGGCGTTCCCGGTAGCGATGATGGATGGGCAGGCTGTCGCGAGGCTTGGTGGCTGGGACTGGGAGCCGGGGGTGACCGGAAGCGAGACGCACCCCGCAATGACCTGCGCGTCCCGCATCTTCATCACGATCTTCGCGTCTCCTTTCTCTCATGGTTTGCTTCTCCCTGTGATCTGTTCTGCTGCGTTCGATGTTTGACCTTCTTCTCTTACCCAGCAGCTCGCCATATGCAGCCGTTGAACAATAACAAGCGAACTCTACGCGTCATTAGCGCGAGCTGCACTGTTTACTCAATAGCAACCGCATACACGGGATGGCCATGACGCTCTTATGCTTTTTAGTTGCGGAGACGGCTCCTAAGCCTCGGCTTCGCGCACTAAGAAGTGATTTTGTTTGGATGGAAGTCTTACAGCGCGATGCACGCCAAGCTGGAGGTGGCTTGCGACGGGAGTGTTGACCTCGGTTTCGCGTCAATGAAAAGACGAGGCTTGTATAAAGAGATCAAGATACTGCTTTCATACCAGTGCACGGGTAGTAAAATCACAGTGCCGCCGACATGTTCTCGTCTTTTACATTGGGCTCCATTGGTCTTCTGCTCTTAACCAGCGGCGCGACGACAACCTGGGCAGACTATGCGTCCGGCCACGATGTACCAACCGCAACTGTCGACGCGGGTGTCATAGTTGGGAAGATCACCTCACTTCCTCATGCACTTGGACCAGTGCATCAGTTTCTAGGTGTGCCCTTTGCATCACCACCCGAAAGATTCTCTCCACCGCGAGCTGCAGAACCCTTCCAAGAGCCAGTCAATACCACCGAGTTCAAACCAGCATGTATCCAACAATTTCGATGTATGTGAACCATGCAAGCGATTTGATGTATGCTAATTAGAGTAGACCCGCTGTCAAGTTCACAGTTCACGCAGGCTGTCTTCAATAACCCGCCACCTGAAGAGTCGGAGGATTGCTTATATCTCAATGTCTATGCACCATCGACTCCCGCGGACGGCAATGGCAGGGCTGTAATGTTCTGGATCTACGGTGGCTCACTGCAGTTCGGTAACGCTGGTCAAGAACAATATGACGGAAGCAGTTTCGCAGCATACGAGGATGTCATCGTTGTGACGACGAACTACAGAACGAACGGTAGGTGACTATCGACACTCCAAATCACATGTTTCATACCTAACAGCTCGCAGTATTTGGCTTCCCTGCTTCACCAGAGCTGCCTTTAGCGGAACACAATCTTGGCTTCCTTGATCAGCGCTTTGCCCTCGAGTGGGTGCAGCACAACATCCACGCCTTCGGCGGCGATGCATCCAAAGTCACCATCTTCGGTGAGAGCGCGGGTGCTTTCTCGATCGATGCGCTCTTGACCAGCTTTCCAAAAGAGAGTTCACCACCATTCCGGGCCGCCATTCTACAAAGTGGGCAGTACAGCTATCGCGCAGCTCCTGCAACATCGAGCATTCCTGCTTGGAACAATCTCACAGCGACGCTCGGGTGCCCAGGAACACATGAGAGCAACTTGACATGTGTAAGAGCAGCCAACGCAACGACTGTGCAGACCATCATCAACCAGAACTCACTCGTGTTCAATCCAGTCGCTGATAACACCACTTTGGTATCAAACCCAGCAGCACAACGCCTAAGCGGCAATATCGCGCATATACCAGTATTAGGAGGTACAAATTCCCAAGAAGGCCGCGTCTTCTCAGTCGGCCAAACAAACGTCACTGCCTACCTGCAAGCGACCTTCGGAGCCGCACCAGCACTCATTCCCGCAATCGAAGCTGCATACCCAATCGGTAGCAACGGTCTGACCAACGGCTACGACGTCATCTCACAGATTGTCACTGAGATCACATTTCAGTGTCCACAAGCATTATGGGCCAATGCGACAGCATCCATCGGTATTCCCACCTGGCGCTACTACTTCAACGCTTCTTTCGCCAACACGCAAGCTTACCCCCAACTCGGTGCCTATCACGCTTCTGAAATCCCTCTCGTGTTCCGCACATATCCCCTTGCTAACACGACGACGCAAGAGTACGCCTTGGCACAGTTTATGCAAAGTACATGGGCCAAGTTCGCGAAGAACCCGTATGCTGGACCTGGATGGAATGCTGTTGGTACGGGGGCTGAGGGTAATGTTTTGGTTGGTGCCTATGACTTTGTGGCAGGTGGAGTATATCAGGACCAGAATGCCACCGTCGTAGAAGGAGATTGGAACTTGGGTGTTCTCGGCGATGTTGGAGGTGTGAGGGGAAGTGGTGTTACTGTGCTGCCGCAGTCTGATCTTGATTACAGATGTAGTCTCTTTAGGCCTATCTTTGAGGCTAATGTCGGTCCGCAAGGTATACCCCCATCTTAAGGTAGAGGCCTATGCCCCTAGACCAAGGTGATTTCCAACATAGTCAAATGAAACGCTAAGACCATGATAACAGATTCTGATTTCATCCAAGCGTCTTGTGACGGTGTTGCTATACTACCAACTCCTTTAACCTATCGTCCGCCAGTAACCTGTCCAATATCCACTCCACTCCGATCCGACTCACCACCCTCATGCATGCTCCTCTCCACACTGTCGATCGAACTCTCGCTTCCGGTTTTGGTACCGACACTGCTACTTCCCTCGTACTCTTGCTTAGTGTTTTGTGTTACATCTTCCCCTCGGCGCTGCTCTGAAGTGCCTGAGGCGTTTTGCTGGCCGGGTGCAGTCTATGACTGTTAGTATCTTCCTGGGGGATACAACCTTCTGGTATGATGCATGGTTGGAATCAGGTGTTATATCAGGCAGGAGCTTACCTTGTCCACGGACGCGCTCAAACCAGCAGGGTCAGTCGACTGACCGGTCTTGAACGGAACGCTCGGGTCACCATTGAATGTACCGGCTGTGTCTTCGCTGGGGTTGACGGGGTTCTTGGGTTGGGTGTTTGAAGATTCTTGACCTGTCAGGGAAGACATGGTGTGTATTATTTCGAGGAGGATTGTAACAAAACAGTGTTGGTATTTGAAGAATGCTCTACCAAACGGCCGGCTGGTACTTTTGTAGGATGTGTAAGTTGGAGTTGATGGTGTAGAATCGACGTCATAGTGACCAAAGATGAGGATGTGGGTATCTGCAGTGGCGAAAGAGCTTTTGGCATGGACGCGAGATATACGCGTGGGCTCATTCCTTCGAGGAAGCAGACCTATTGGACGAAAAGTATGGTCGTCTCTTCACAGACCTCGCTAGTATTTGTACGCGCTTCCATCTCATGAAATTGTGATTCTATTCAATACAGAACGCTCGCTACGCCAATACACCTATTCGACACAGTCTATGCAGATCTATAGCTTGCTCTTGCCAATACCCCAAACCTCAGCCTGAGGGTTATTCGACTTCTTGTTTATGGATGCGCCTTCAGCGACAGGCGTCTCGCCGTCCTCGACGAACAGCGATTGCGACTGCTTCATGGTCTCGACGGCTTCGCGCTCGATGCGGTCAAGGAGCTCTTGATTGGTGGGGATGTCGTGGATGAGGCCAATCACTTGGCCAGCAGTCCATACCTAGGTTTGTCAGTCAACCGTACTCGAAAAGGGAAACGTATACTTACACCGAAGTCTGGGTCTCCGTTCAAGAAGACTTGCCGACCTCGCTTTCCGCTGACGAACTCAGCGACTTCCTCGAACTTGCCAGTCGGGCTTGTCTTCTCGACCTCAACAGCCTGCAGCGCAACCTTGTTGGCGAAGAGTCGCGATGTGTTCTTCCACCGGCGGAGCACGAGTGCAGTATCTGTCTCTTGCGCGTCGACGATGGCTTGCTTGATGTTGTGGTGGATGGGCGCTTCGATGGTGCACATGAAGCGCGTTCCCATGTTGATACCACAGGCTCCGAGAGAAAGCGCGGCAGCCAGGCCTTGGCCGTCGGCGAAGCCTCCAGAGGCGATGAAAGGCACACCACCTAATGATTGCCTGGCCCTGCTGAGCAGGATGAAGTTGGTAATGTCCGTCTCGCCAACGTGTCCGGCGCACTCGAAGCCATCGATGGACAGGAAGTCGACGCCAAGCTTCACCGCAGATTGTGCGTGCCTGATAGTGGTGCACTTGTGCAAGATAATGGTGCCAACCTCCTTCAGCTGCTTAATCACCGGCCCTGGGCTGTTTCCCGCTGTCTCGACAATGTTGACCTTCTCCTCGATGATGACGCGGGCGTATGCGGCATAGTCCGGGGGGACCATGGCGGGGAGGAGCGTCAAGTTGACGCCGAAAGGCTTGTTGGTCATCGTTCGGCATCGGCGGATTTCCTTGCGAAGGTCTTCGGGTGTGGGTTGGGTAAGGGCGGTCAACTATGCGGTCGTGAGAACATGTTTGATGCGTGATGGCCGCCAGACGTACTATCCCCAGACCTCCTGCGTTGCTAACAGCGGAAGCGAGTTCGGCGTATCCGACCCATTGCATACCACCCTGAACGACGGGCACTACATCTGTCAGCTACCGTCTCGTTTGCTGTGCTGGTGAAGTTACCTCTAATGCCGAGCGCCCTCGTCAGCTCCGTGTTGAAAGGCATCCTGACTGTAGATGGCCCCAAGAAAAGATTTAGAGTTTGTTGTTTGAGAGGGAACTGCACAGGAGCCTTGAGCCGAGCAGATATCTGACACTCGGACGCGCGACGTTACGGCCGTCGCTCCGGCTGAAGCGCATGTCATTCGTGTGGGGAAGCCATGTGCCTCGGTAACTCCACAGCCGCGACACCAAACGCAGGTGCACGACCGCCGGGTGATTAGTCTGCGCTGACTCTATCGCCGAATGATTCGCTGTCACCGAGTCGCTCGTGATGTCTTTGCTGGAATGGCAGCTGTGCCCGAGTGGTGTTCCGGACGCGTCGCAAAAGGGGAAAGCTGAGCCGCAGGGCTGATGCCGTCATCTCCCTGGCATGTTCACATGTGTCTTGGCAATGAACCATCACTCCAACACCACCCCTACGCATCTTAGCGATCGATCTTTAGTCATCTCCTAGGACCTATAAAGGCTGGAATCAGTCGCATCGCGAAGAGAAATCTCGCAGTTTGTCGGTAGCAGTTGGACTCCGCGTTGGGGCCAAGAAACTACCTAGGTAGGGAACAATACTCTGCATTTCAGCTGGCTGACTGCACTCAGAGCACTTTAACAAGGGTTCTACTCATGGTCTCTGACTTCCCTATCGTGTCGTCTATGTCCGCCCAGACCCGGACTTCTGCATGAAGCTACATTGTTTGACTTGCGAAATGGTCAATCACAAGAACGTTGCGCTGGATTCTGAACCTCCGCAAAACCCGATTAGAGTGAAAAGATAATCGCTATTCTATAGAAAGACCCGTTCTTGGGTATCTCATGAATTTTGGGCCAGCTTCAACCTGTATCAATGATCAATTCTCCAGATTGCACGCTTGTAAGACTGGTTCAGAACGACGGCAGCCCGACGAGCCGTCTATTCCTTACCGACCGTTGCAAAGCCAACGGGATTGCCAAGAGCTTAGTATGCTTCCAGGTCACGTGGGATTTGGTCCAGACTATGGAGTGCCTTTCGATACCGCGTCTGTGTGACCTACTAAAACTTCGAACTGCAATCCCTTCCCTGTGTGGCCTTTCTGTCTACTCTGGCTGGTGTCGTAAGCTTCTTGAGATCAGCAACCTTTCACGCTCGTCATGACTGGCAACCTCGAGTAATTGAGAATCACGATGCGTAAGAAGCGTGATGGATCACTCACCAACGGACTTCATATCCCTGATTCAGCAGTCATCATTGTCGAGCCTTTGAGCGAGTTTTGTGTCGAACACGCGGAGTGAGGTAAGAGATCGGCATCTAGGCCGACTGTCCAATACGATACTTAGAAAGTTCATATCATAGGATCCATAGGTACCATGGAATGTCACATTGTAGTCGCACTGGAAGAGCGCTATTCAGTCGATGTATGGTTAGGATAGCGTCACGCATCCATACGCGTTGACGGGAAGCTCCACCAGGCTGTAGTACACTTGACACATCGTGATCGTTGTCAAAAGCTCGCTTGAAATCGAAGTTCCATGACGGGAAGGTACATACCTAGGCACGCAGGTCCACGCTTGGCAGTGACGTAACGAGCCAATGACATAATTCAACCCCGGCAAACCCACTAGATGGACAGTCTTTGCGGAGATTCTGGGAGGCCTACTTTGTTGGGGTCTCCACACACACGTCCGGTATATAGACTGAGATGCCAGGCTCGGTGCATCCAAGAGGAATCCTGCATCTTGATCTCCATGACCCATCATGTCGTGGTCTCTTCTTCTTACCGTCCTGACCCAGGTCGTCCGTGTTACATGCGCACGAGAGACATATGACTATGTTGTAGTTGGAGGAGGCCCCGCAGGTCTTCTAGTCGCAAACCGACTGTCTGCCGATCCCGAAGTCACTGTTGCCATCATCGAAGCCGGAGATTCTGGCTACGACAACCCAAATGTGTCATACGTACCGAAGTCGATCTTGGAGTACGGTCTCTTCATCGGCACGTCGATTGACTGGAAGTACATGACGGCACCTCAGAAGTATGCTGGGAACCGGAGCGTGAACTACTGGGCAGGCAAGGCTTTGGGAGGCAGTACTACGGTCAATGGAATGACGTACATACGCGCGGAGAAAGAGCAAATTGATGGGTGGGAAGGGCTTGGCAACGAGGGTTGGAACTGGGAGAGTCTGCTCGAATACTACCTGAGGCAGGAAGGCTTCACAGAGCCTAGTGAGGAACTTTCGAAGGAAGGCGCGACCTTCAGGGACGGCGTACATGGAACTGAGGGAGAGCTTGCTGTTGGCTTCACCCCATACCTGGTCCGTCAAGGGTTCGCCAAACTGTTCGCGGAGACCTCCCTGGCGATGGGTATTCCTTACAATAAGGAACCGAACAATGGTAGCATGCGCGGTTTTGACGTGTGGCCTATGACGCAGAACGTGACTGGGCCTACGAGGGCCGATGGGGCCAGGTCCTTCTACTTCCCTGTTGCATCACGCCCGAATCTGCAGGTCTACTTCAATACCACAGCTGCACGCATCATCTGGAACGGGGAATCATCCGAGACTTCGGAAGTGGTGGCCTCGGGAGTTGAGGTGATTGACGCGGGAAATGTAACGAAAACTATCGGTGCCTCCAAGGAGGTCATTGTCGCAGCTGGCGCCATTCGATCACCAGCATTTCTTGAGCACTCAGGTGTAGGTAATCCCGACATACTTGAACCTCTCGGTATCAAGACTGTCAATCCACTCCAGTCGGTCGGTTCCAACCTGCCAGATCAACCGCAGCATGGGATGGTCTTCAACTCGTCCACGAATTGGACGGGTTATCCTACCTTCGTTACATTTTTGACAGCTTCTGATCTCTTTGGTGAAGAACTTCCCGCTCTTGTGGAAGAGCTCCAAGCCAATGTCAGCGCTTATGCTGCAGCGATTGTCGCAGACTACGCGCCCGATACCATCTCCGTCGAGACGCAAGAACGGCTTCTGCAACATCAAGTAGACCTAGTCTTCACTGCTGAGAGCGATGTTCCTTTAATAGAGATCCTCTGGGCCCCGACAGGAAATCAGATCATTGCGCAGCTTTGGGACCTAATACCGCTTTCTCGAGGCTCAATACACATCGAATCAGCCGATGCATCCATACCACCTCGTATCGACCCAAACTTCTTCCAGATGCCCATCGACATGTATGTGCAAGCAGCTGCTGCAATCCGTATCCGCGAGTATTTCGCCACTTCGCCGCTAGCGGAGGACGCTACCGGCGAGGTCTCTCCCGGTTACGAAGCGGTACCGCAAGGTGCTCATTGGAGGGATCAAGTCTGGGACGACTGGATCACAGGCGCCATGAATGGCAACTCGCATCCTGTGAGTACTTGCGCAATGATGAGTAAGGAGCTGGGTGGTGTGGTAGATACGGAGGGCAAGGTTTACGGGACGCAAAACGTCCGGGTTGTGGATGCGAGTGTGTTCCCGACTCAGATCTCGGGCCATCTTAGCGCCAGTGTATATGCCATTGCTGGAAAGATTGCGGACGCGATGAAGCAGAAGGGGTCGGATGAGAAGAAGTTTTGACAAGACTTTTCCTTTGTAGCGCTTCCGATGTTGGCGGCGTGTTGCTATCACACTGTACAAGTCCCGGATTGGGTGGGTCTTCGCCTGCTCCAGGTTAATCGAGAGCTGCGTCGGTGAAAATGATACATGGGTAGCGCAAAATAAGTACAGATTTCAATTTGATTGAGGAGCGTGTACTTTTCTCTGGTGAAAGCTAGACTCCTTCCTAACAGGCGATCGAAAAAGGGATAGTGCTGCGCTGCCCCACTTTTCATTACAGGGCAGCCGCCCCACGTCACCAACCTTTAGGCAAGAGCCGTGCGCCGGAATGACGAGCCCACCACAAACACCCACCTGGGCAGCCTTCACTCTCCAATATCCAGCTTTGGTCCTCAACGCCGACGCGATAGCACAATGCCGTCGCTCATGAGCCTTCCGCGTGAACTACGTGATCAGATATGCGAATACGTCATACTTTCGCCAGCCCGGCAGCCACGAGTGCTCAATCAGACAACCGAAGAGATTCTGGACGGATACATGACTTATGAGTTTCCAACGCCGTTCGTAAGGCCGGGTCCCTCGTATCAGCCCCAGGCAATCGTCTCGAATTCGACGAGATTACTGCTAGTCAATCAACAGCTGAGAACGGAAATAACGGAGATGCTAGAACGAATGCGAAGCATTGTGTACGACCTCGATCTTGCAATGACCGACAATGGGATATTGGCAGCGACGTGGATCAATGTTCCAGTTTTGTCGACCAGAATTGAGCAGTTGAATGTCACACTTCGCCTCTGTGTGACAAACGATAGCGAACGACTGAAGTCTGAAATTGAAGACATGTTAGGGGCGCCGGCAAATCCAGGACCTGAAGATTTCTTTGGGCTACTACCTAAGCAGTGTAAGGAAAGCCTTTCCTCCATTAGTATTAGTACTATACTAACCACTCACCTCACTGTTTTAGTGGTATGGGGCTTCTATGGCATATTCAACCGATTCACCCATGTTGGGCCTCTGGGCGAAAGGAAGAGCGACAGTGAACATCGGCAAATATCCATCAGAACGATCAGCATCAACGTCGAGACACCATCTCCCGATCTTGCGCAGCTCGGTCTGATTCATATGTCCACTCAGGCCGACGCTGCAATGTCGGTTACTTCCCGGTACTTCTTGGTGTGTCTGAATTGGATTATACAACAACAGCTGGAAGGGAATTGGGAGTATATCCGGGGCATCACTCTGCTTGAGTACGTAGATCATGTTCTAATCTACCACGACGGCAATGAGATACATCACTGGGATGTAGCTGCGTGCCTTGCAGAGTATCCTGAAGATGAAATGATCAAGTGGAGACCAACTGGCAAGAAAGAGGCCTGGCGCAGAAGGAAGCAAAGAGGACTGAAGGTGCCCGAAGACTTCAAGGATCCGGCCGGATGGTGATACCAGACTGCAAACACGGGGAAGCTGTTGAGGTACGAAATGGTCTTACGAGGTTCTCCAGGAACGGCACAAGACCACAGGCAAAGGAGAACCGCTTTCACGCAACCGCTTCACGTGACGGGTCGTGGCTTAGCAAGTCTAACGTGCAGACCGCTGTCGATCATTCTAATACACGATCAACAGTCACTTACCAAACGTCCGCTTTCTCTTGCGATAGAACTAAATTCACTATTCGTACTTCAGCTCACTCTTTCATCGACCAATCTCGACAAATGAGCCCGAAGCGGTAATCCGAAAAAATGACGCTTGTTGCGCTAGTCAACATGCGGTTAGTGACCTCGAGGAATCAACTATATTGGGATAGCGATCTACGAGGCCTGGGGCTTGACTGTGCTTGATGTTGTTTGGCATCTATTTACTGGCAAGGCTGAGTCTCGAGAAATACGCCCGTTTTGGAGATAGCTGGGGGCCTGGAACAATTTGCGCGGTTTATCAAAGCAGCTCCGTATTGTGTTGAGCGTGACGCTCGAGATACTTATATCTAGTACCAGACCACTCATCGCAAAGCAACATAAGCTCGATACCATGCTATCATGATGCCATTAGAACCTCTTCCATACCAGAGCCACTCTTTCGACCGGCCGCATCGAGCACTTGGTTCATACAGCGCTGCACCGTTACCACCGACTAGCTTGTCTCCACCGGATGATGAGTTGTCACGTCACGCGATAGATTGGTCGCCCTGCATTCCAGATCCAGTTCAGCCACCACAATCTCTTCAAGTGAGCCACTCTTCAAACATTGCCAGTAAACCTTGCTGACCTGTCTAGAAACCCGTCGTGATACCAAGACTCGATGCAAGCGGTCTACTTGGAACACCATTCCCATTTATACGAGCATACAGCCCCGATCTGCGCCGCTTCAATATCCACGAGAAAGACTTTGTAGCATTCATTGATGATCTCAGTGTCGCTCAAGCTCCGCCAGTTCCGCTTCAGGCACTTGATGCAGCGGGTCATGTGGTTGGCATCGTGTGAGTTGACTCCTTTGTTTGGCTCTTACCGGTTTCTCATACAAGTGCTAGACCACATCATTGGACCATGATCGCTGGCGCCAGCATGAATGTGGCCGCCGGAGTTGGAACGGCTGCTACGACAACTATGCGAACCCGGCGCTTCTTAGAGGCTGTGAACCGAGAATACTTTGCGCCTCGTGGTCTGAAAGCTTCAATTTGCAAGAACAGACTGTTGGAAGAGAAGCTCGGCTGCAATGTGCACATGCCATCGTCGGCGTAAGTTTAGCCCTGCCGTAAGGATTCCCTGTTTCTGACTTCGCAAAGAGCCCTAGGAAGTAGCTCTCGGCCTCAAACAGCTGGATACCGACGATTGCAAGCGCTCACGCCCTACATCGCACCGCTATCATTCAACGTACCACCGCCAATGGAGCAACGAAATGCTCTCGACAGAATGGCTGCAAAGCAGATCGAACGGCGTATTAAGAAGAAAGAAGAAAAGGGCTACAGCTCAGACTCAAGCTCTAGTTCAGAGTCTAGCATCAGCTCCAACAAAGAGTCCGCCCTGGTATCTCATGATGAGGTCAACGGCAAACAAAAGAGAAGAGCGGATAAAGCGGAGCGCAAACGAGCAAAGAAAGAAGAGAAGAAGGCGCGAAAGGAAGAGCGGAGATCTAGGAAGCGGGACCGGAAAGGGGCCAAAGCTCATGTTAAGGAGGGTAAGAAGTTGGAGAAAGAACAGAAAATGGTCGAGAAGATGGAGTATATCATCATTGAGTCGCTGAATGAGGGGATGTAGTGATAAAGAGACTTCGTTGACTTGTCACGAATGCCCATGTTTATGCGACAAAACGGTTGTTCTACCTTTTTAATTGATTACGACCTCACTTGCGAACATCTAGGATGCTTTTAGCGGATCTCCAGGGCCCTCGTCCACCAGCCGACATGTCTTGCATGAAAGATGTGATCCATGATGCTATTGTCGGCTCCTTCTCGCGGATCCCATCGTATGCCATGCGCAGAGGAAAGAGTAGTTCAAAAGAGCCCTGTTCGCCCCAGTCCTCTAGCTGATGGTACTCGACGCTACGACATATAGTGAGCGCCGCTGTCGATATCTGCTCCTGTCGGGTATGGTAGGCTGAAGATGACATCATCTCAGCATCGATGCTGTCGGCGAACCGGAGGGCCATGATGGTAGCGGCGTTATAGACTGTGATAGCGTTCGCGTGATAGAGTGATCGGTATCTGAAGGCAGTAGACCAGGCTGGATGCAATGCGCCATACTCGTCTTCTATGAGCGGTATCGGTTGGCATGCGGGTGTCTCGTAAGAGGTGTGAAACGGATCAGACGCAAAAGTCTCCCTCCAGTTTTTCAGTTTGGCGATGACCTCATGACATTGCAAAGACAGACATTGCATCTCAGCAGTCCTTGTGTCTTCATCCACAACTGACAAAAGCTCATCACGCAGAATGAAGAGCTGAGGGTAGTCGGCAATAATGTCGAACAAAAGCTTGAGCGAGTCGATGTGCTCAGGGTGTAAGCTCCAGGGGATGTATTTCCATTTATTCTCCGACATTATCGTTGGCTTGTGCAAGACAATAGCTGCAAAGATAAGAGACGGGCGAATCCTATCCAAGATCCCAAGACACTGAGGTGATGCCATAGCTTCGGGTCCGCGCAACTCGAAGAGCCTCTCTAGCCCACGTGCATGGTTTATCCAACCATCGACACGATCCGAGATGAGGAACTAGTAGCGGTTAGAAAATGTGTGCACTGCAGAACGTTTGATGTACCTCGATGAGTCCCATAAGCATGACCGCCTCGATCAGATCAAAGGAAGGCGGAGACACCGAAGCCTCAAGAGCCGAATGCACGGCTCTAAGTGCGTCACTGTACCTCTTGAACCCGTACTGCGTGATAGCTCTATCCTGGTGCTTGATGCCGAAGTAAGAAGTCGCAAGCGCAGAAAGTGACTTGATGGTAATAACCCCAGGATTGAACACCAACAGGCTCTGCACCGGCAATAAGTTTGAGAGAGTGAACGCGGTGAAGACATCATCGCGAGAAGGCGACAATGCTCGATGAATTTCCTGGTGAAGTCGAATAGCAGTGTCAGGCGTCCTGGTGCCGACTTCCACAGCTAAGCACCCGGCGACATCGCGATCGCTAGGCTGGGCAGACTGGCCGTGGCCATCGAATTGTACGAATGTGATGCCGCGGGTGCCACCACATTGTAGTCGTGCTGTGACGCACCTTCCGCATTGTGGCTTTCGTAGATCTCGTGACGTCAACACACGCGTCGGAATAGCGCAGGGGTAAACAGGGCAAACCTACCACATTTGACGCGTCGACTTTTGCAGTTATCGCACGCTCTGGACCGCCCGCCAACTCCGACCATGTGAAAGATGCATGCTAAGATGGATGAGATGAGGAAGATACAAGACTGCGGGAGATGACGAGTCACCGTCAGCATGGCGCGTGCGCGGCGCTATATTCGGCCCTCTTCTCACAAGGATGCGCCTGTGAAGACGCACATAAATTCAACGATCGATCAAGGGGTAGCTTTAAACCTTATATCCTCTATGATGTTAACTTCAGTCTTTGTTTGTACTACGTACATAGAGACGTGAGCAGATCCTACTTCCACAAGGGGAACACCTCAAGCTTCCAGACCTTCAGGTCCTGTCAACCCTGAGAGCCCTAAGATATAACCCCGCGCCACGGCGAACCTTTCCCAGCTTCACGTATCCATTGCAACCCCTTCATTTTCTCCAAGCCTTCTACGAAGTCAAACCCAATGGTCCATAAGTCGCCGTTACACCTGTCCTCGAGCTTCCGTACCCAAAGCGCTTTGAGGGCCCTCTGGTCACGGATTATGACCGCAATGTCGTAAGCACAATCTTCATCTTCTTCAGTGGCACCTCGATAATTGAGAGTGAGCCGATCACAATGTTGAATCCAGGTCAGTTTCTCCGGTGTGTTTCTAGGCAAAAGCTTCCGGAACATTACGCGGGTACTTTCAAGGCGGTTCCACGGATGACCCATATGGGTAGAGAGGTTGATTGTCGACCATGGTAGATATAATATCGGCTGCAGAGCTGCTACGCATCGTGTCAATGATGCCTGCTTACAGTCACCGTCAAACCATGATGCCGAACTCGGCATGCTGATGTTGCCATCGCCAGCTCCTCCTGCCAAGATTGAGGCTGGTGATGACTCGATCTTCAAACAACGGCCGTATGGATGCTCATCTTGCCACTTTCGAGTAGCAAGGATTAGAGGTTTAACTTTAGCTATATCGTCCTCCATTTCGTTGTACGTAGTACGGCAACTAAAGAAAAGGCCGGAGATATCCTGTGGACGTCCAGAAGTGATGCTTCCGACAATAAGGTGCCTATAGACTTCGATTCGAAGCTCTGTTGGAAGGGTGAGAATCATATTCTGTATAATGCGTGGGTTGTTTAGATACCAAGGTGAGGGGAAGTGATCGTTACAGTTAATGCTTCCTGCTCTTATATATCGGAGCATCGAATGCAAGGAATTGACTTGGCTTAAGAGTACGGATTCATCTTTTGCTGAGTCAATGACGTTGTGAGGTGATTCATTGTGTAGGAATTGAGAACAAACGGGTTGTATGATGATTTGCGCAAATTTACGTGGATTAGAATGGAGCAGATAATACAGGAATGAATGCATGAGCTTTATTACCCTACTTTGCATCAGTAAGCCACCATGACGATGTAACAATACAGCAACATACACTCCGAAAAGTTGGTGCGCAAACCTCATCCAACCCCATAAACTCAGTCGACCTAAATCCTTCAAACAGCACTACTCCCCATAAAACCAATTGAAGTGCACAAACTGATACCCCGGCCACCCTAATCCATCCCTGAAATCTACTCCCCACAGCCTCTTCGTCTGTCCCTCAACGAGAAAGCACCACGGAGTATTAGAAGCCCCGGATGCAGGACGATACATGGCCCC